AATGAGAAACTGAAAAAATGGAAATAAAGTGTTTGCAAATGGGGAGGGGAGGAGGGGGTGAAGGGAGGGCAGGGACAAGGGGAAAAATGAGAATCAAGACCTATTATGTAAAGGTACAGAATCCCAATGATGAATGTAACTGTATTTGTATACCTAGATTGTACCAATAACCTCAATAAAAATGAAAAAAAAAAATAAAAAGAAACACTTATCTTAGCAAAGAAGGCAGACAATCTCAGCATACAACTCAAAAAATCTAGAAAAAGGCCAAACAAGTAAATAAAAAAAGAAGAAATAAATACATAAAGGATGCAAAAGTAAAAAAATAAAGACACACTAAAAAAGCCAAAAGCGTTTTCTTTGAAGCTTCCTGGGAAGACAGATCCAGGAGTGAGAGGGAAAGAGGGAGAGGGGAGGGAAGGAGAGGGGGAGAGGGAGAGCGAGAGGAAGGGAGGGAGGGAGAGAGAATGAAAACTGCAGTGTCAACAAAGGAGGCTTTAAACATTGGGGGGTATAAAAAAAGTTAAGATGTCTCATGTATCAAATATCCACAATGAAAACAGTCATGCATTGCAAACATGTGCTAATAAATAAATTTAAATTTAAAATATAGAGTACTGTGAGTTACTTTAATCTGAACATGGATACAAAACAATGTCCTGGAAAGCTGGGCATGGTGGCATGCATGCCTGTAATCCCAGCACTCAGGAGGCTGAGGCAGGAGGATCACTGGAAGTTTGAGACCAACCTGGGATAAACAGTGAGGTCCAGGAAGAGAAACAGAATACTGATCATGAGCTGAGCATAGTAAGGATGACTTTAAATTAAATCTCTTAATAAGCTGGGCCTGTGGACATGAAGAAGAAAACTAGAAAAGCATAGAAGCTAACTGGGTGTTGTTGTAGTTGGATTTTTAGTGGGGGTGGGGGTGGTAGCAGGGGTGGTTTAATTTTGGTTATGCTGAAATGGAGATGCCTTTAAGATAATAAGTGGAAATGTTAAAATATGCAGTTAGATCTATGGACGGGTGCTTGCTTAGGACAGATAAAGTTCAAATATACATATTTGCGAGTTGTCTGCATTCAGATAATAATTAAAGCCACAGGTACGGCCAAAAGTAATCTAGCAAGATAAAACATGGTTCTCAAAGTGTGGTCCCTGGACCAGCAAAGGCAATATTGCCTGGGAACTTGACAGAAGCAATTCTTAGAACCCTACCCTGGATCTACTGAACTATATAGAAATATATAGAAATATATAGAACTATATAGAAATCCTATAAACAGTGGCCTGCAGTCTGTGGTAACCCCAGGAGGGACTGTAATTCAGGATACAATTTGAGAATGAAAGGGAAGGGGAAGGGGAAGGGGAAGGGGGAAGGAGTCAAGAAGACTTGGGGCTTTCTTGGAGAATTTCAACATTTAACAGAGAAGGATGAGCCTGCAAGAATGGCTAAGAGGAAAATGAGGAGTCCGTCAAAAGAAGTAATATGAGAGGTTTAGTGTGGAGTACTACTGATATTCAGTGGTGACAGTGCCAGGAAAGACTGCGATGAACTGAAACGTAACAAGCTAAGAGGAGAGTCTGGTGAGGACGAAGTGTTTTGAGCAGCATAACTGTAAGACAGCAACAGGGTGAACGTGGCAGTAGTTAACAAGAAAGGGGAAGATGCTTTTTTAAACAAACAGGATAGTAAGTAGTGACAAACTGCCAAGGGAGGAATCTGATTGTGAGGGAGAGAACAGCTAGCTGTAATGCACACCAAGGTAGCCGCAGCAGGAAGAGTGCTGCATACAGGCAATGCTTAGAACCGTACAAAATCATGACCAACTTGTATTATTACTGCTTTGTAAATTCTCCACAGACCTGCACCCTACAGTCTGCACCCAGAATGGATTGCTCCCAAGGTCTTGTCCTTGGTGCCACTGGGTCACATAAGGTTGCTGAAAATGGAAGAGAGAGTGGGATGCAAGGAATGGAAAGAAAGACTGTCCTTGATTGACGGAGCAAATAACCTTTTTAATCAGAAGCAAGGAGGTGAAAATAGATGGGCAAGGGGCTGGGGATTTAGCTCAGTGGTGCTGCACCTGCCTCACAAGCACAAGGCTTGACCTCTGGTACCCCCACCCACAATGGATGGGCATGCCGAGTGGCGCATGCTTATAATCCCAGCACTCAGGAGGCTGAGACAAGAGGATTGCTACAAGTTTGAGACCAGGCGAGGGAAGTTTGAGGTATGGTGGCAGGAAGCTGGAGAAAGTGTCACTGAATGGGTTCTATTTCCTCTGTGGGGTCATCTGCAAGGCCATCCCTACTAAGAGACAGATGTGTCACATTCTCCTGTCCTACTTCATACTCACTAGCAACTTTGTATTTATTGTTGTTGTTTTGTTGGGGAGGCCCTGTCTCAAAATTAAAAGGGAAGGGCATATAGCTCAGTGTTAGAGTACATGAATACCATGTAGGAGACCCTGGATTCATTCTCAGCATGGGAAAAAGAAAAAGAGGAATGAGAAAGAGCCTTCTTAAAGGCAAAGGCATGGCAAATTCTTTGGAATTAAATACAAAAATACTTAATTTGGTGTGGCAGCTCATCATGCCTATAATCCTAGCAGTCAGGAGGCTGAGGGAGGATTCATGTGAGTTCAAGGCCCAAATGGGCTACACAGCAGACCCTGTATCAAAAAACAAAAACAAGGGCCGGGATTTGGCTCAGCAGCTCCTCACTTGCCTGACATGCACAAGGGCCCAAGTTCTATTCCCAGTACAAAAAACAAACAAACAAACAAACAAAAAACAAGGGCTGGGGATTTAGCAGTGGTGCTGCCACCTGCCTTACAAGCACAAGGTCCGGAGTTTAATCCCTGGTCCCCAAAACAAAAACAAACAAACAAAATAACCTCCATAAAAGGGACTCTGGACTTTCACATATTTAAAGAACTTGGCAGTCTACTCACAGAAACAATAAGGCAGGCTGTGAATTAATCCCCAAGTTTATTTGGGGTCCTGGGGACAGATCCTCTAGTCCTCCAACCCTCAAGGTACCCTGTAATACCAGATCTGTGCTTTCTAACTGGCTTTCCCTGCTCCACTCCATTGCAGCTTATGCTCTGGCGTAAGTAAGATGCAGTTTTCCAGGGCCTGGAATCATCAGTTAGTGGGTCACACGATATTGCCCAAGTTCTGCATAAATGATCTTACGATCTTGGATATTTTAAAAGTGCTTAGCACAGAGAAGATGCTCAATTAAGATTCATTTCTTCCTTTCTTTCCTTCCATTTTTCTTTCCCATGGTGAGGAGGGAAGAAAAATTAGGAACAAACAAAAGATCCCTTGTAAGACAACAGCTCTCTAGTATAAAAATACTGAAAAAATGGAAACCACTTCTCAGTGCCTACCTTGTGCCTGCGGGCTGTATGGAGACAGGAGTTTAGACCTTTTCTTTTCATATCCCTTCTGTGTGATGTCCCCTAAAATAGCAAGAAAACAGAAATAGGTTATGCATTATTCTTATTCTTTACGGTTCACTGTAAAAACAAAATTAATTACAGAGTATTACAGAAGTATACCACACAGACTAGGGGAAAATGTATGGTTCTTAGCCAAGATTTTGCTAACTGATTTCCCATGGACTTGGAGTTTACTTGTGGGAAATTGCAGGGCTTGGACCTACACCATCTTGTTATCAATCTGCTACATATCACGGCAGAGATTCCCGAGGCCCTAGGCATCCCTAGGTTCCTTACTATTTAAGATATCCCCAAAACAGAACGCCGCAAGGTTAACAGACAATGATTTTTCTCAAGAAGTTTCAGTTTAAACAAATGAGTGCAACTGGTTTGTGAGGCCTTTATTCTTTAATACTACAAAAGAGAATCACATAAAATCAAAAGTCTTGTTAAAACAGTAAAGCAAGTGCAGCGGCACATCGCTATAATTCCTATAATGAAAACTCAGGATAGTAAGTCCGGAGGATCACAGGTTTCAGGCCACCTTAGTTAGCTACATAGCAAATTCGAGGCCAGCCTAGGCCATAGTAATGATATAGGGGAAATATAAGCTGCTAGATGTCAAATAAGCTGAGTTTGTATTCTCTAAAATCAAAGAATGAATTTTAAGGAACAATGGAGATTATGAGTGGGAAAAGTTTATTAAGAAAGATGGCTCCTTGGAGACAGGAGGGGACCCGAAAGTGAGTTGCTGTGGACCCTACTTCATAGAGAAAGTTTTATAGAACAAAATCACAAGGTGGATACTATGTGGGTCAAAACTATGATCAACCAATAAGATTACAAGTATAGTTTTAGTTTCTTCTTTTCTCCTATATTTTTGAATTTTACAATGATTATTAGTTAAGGAAACAATATTTTAAAATTTCAATCATGACTACTTACTGAACTCTACAAATTTAAATCACAATGGCTCATCTTTTTTCTGTATTGAAATTTTTTTTTTAAAGACCCAACTCTTCAAATTGGCCAACTCAAGAGTTTAGGTAATCTCTATATACAAACTTACCACCAAGGAAACTTTCATTAGCAATGGGAACTATGTTTTCTTTCTTTCTTTTTTTCAATGTAAAATGGACCGTTCTATTCTATTCCCCACTCACACTCCTCTGCCTCTTTTCCCTTTCTCCCTCCTCTCGTTGGGAGGGGCCCAAAGACCAGTCTACTGGCTTAATAAAAGGCCTTTAAACAGCTTTTTTCAGGGCTTACAGTCTCAATCATTCACTGTCAACAAATGGTCATAGGACAAACTGCTAGATTTGGCAGCAACTACTAACCACCTCAGATTTTGAAAGGGGACAATCAAGAGAGTCTAATTCAGCCATGCTAATTAGCTCTGTTAGATCTGTAAATGAGTAAAGAAAAGAGGACGACCCAGGAAAAGCAGCAAGGTAGTGAGAATGCGCGGACCACCATGTTGGGCCAGTCAGTAATGTCAAAGTGCTTTCCCCTTCTCTGACCACCAGATCTCACTCAAAGTCACTCCCACGTGAGCCTTCCCTATTTGTTAATCACTCCTCCTAGGGGCTCTGCAACTCTGTGCACACTTCCGTGGCAGTGCTTACACATCACTGGTATTTTAATTATTTGTTTAAACCTCTGTCTCCCTACTAGACTGTGCACTTGAGGGCAGGGCCTGTGTCTTGTTCCTCTCTCTAGCCTGCCCACCAACTGGCACAACAAACATATGCAGAACAAGTGACTCAATGAATCAGTAAAATGGGGGCAGTGAGAGAACAATAAATCAAAGAGACACATGTACTTGGTTGGAAAACTGGAATGGGACAGAAAGAGGGCTTTATTTTAGCAGAAGCTAAAAGGCCCAGGGAGAGGATTCAGTAAACCAGAAGTTTACTGAAATTTGACAACAGATCTTTTTTTCTTTCTTTTTTTTTTCTTTTTCTTTTGCTTTTTTGAGGCAGGGTCTCACTATGTAGTTGAGACTGACCTGGAACTCACTATGTAGCCCAGGCTGGTCTCAAACTCACAGTGATCCTCCTGTCTCAGCCTCCGAGTGCTGGGATTACAGGCATGAGCCACCACACCGGGCATGAAAACAGATCTTTAAGGTGACCTGAAAAGCATCAAACAGCTGGCTAGATTGCCTGAAGAGAATAATACATAAATCACAAGATGCTCAAAGACAGAAGAACTCCACACCAGATAGGTATATCCCTTAGCTCAACCAGACAGAAGGAGTTCAGTGAGGATCTGTCACTCACTGCCTACCTAAAGTCATTCTTACTATCTTGTTAGGCAGGTTTTACAATACTAAAGCAATACTTTCCAAAATTTTTAAAAGCTGTGCTAGAACTTGAACACAGGACCTCACAAATACTAGGCAAATGTTCTACCCAAGCTCTTGTCCATTTTTAAAAGAATTTGGAGAAATTTGTAAAAATATAAACTCCCAGGCCTCTTCCATCAAGATTCTGATTCACTGAGACTGGATTAGGATCCCCAGAAATCTGTACTCCTTTTTTTTTTTCGTTTGTCTGCTTGTTTTTTTTAAAGGTCAGGGACTCACTATGTAGTTTAGGCTGTCCTCAAAATTGCAGCAATCCTTCCTTGGCATACCAAGTGCTGGATTTACAAGTATGTGTGCCGTTAGGCCTCACAAAAATCTATACTTCTGACAAGTACTGTATTTTCCAGCAGATCTGAAAGGCAAATCTTGTTTCAATCCATCCATCCATCCATCCATCCATCCATCCATCCTGTAGCAGATCTGAAAGGCAAATCTTGTTTCAATCCATCCATCCATCCATCCATCCATCCATCCTGTCTGGATTGCAGCGTGGTTTTGCTGACAATGTGAGGTGAGGGTGAGGGAGAAGATCAGGAAGGATACTATGTCTGCTACCCAGCTGAAGACAAAGCATGGAAGCTCAGGAGCTCACTGACACTAAGTTATACACAGGAATTGTTAAAACAGATTTCTTGCCATCTGGCATAAGAAACATGAGGGAGTGCCATAGCCATACCTGTAAAAAAATAAAATTTGCATTAAAATGGCATGCATCTAAGGCAAACCTGTTGTTCAAGTTTTCTGAGGACTAAACAAATACAGGGAGGATTAGCCTTCCACACCTACTAGGATAACGTATTTCTCCACCCACATGTACATAGAAGAGTAGCCGCATCCAGTGGTCTGCAGCTCCTGACAGGTGTGCTGGTACACAGTTTCACAAGAAGATACTCACCCAAACAACCAAGAGACAAGCTGTGAGAAATGTGGGACCCACATTACTTGAAAATGTCCAGTGGTGTTGGCCCTATCACAATGTTTTTTGTTTTTGTGTTTTTGAGACAAGATCTTGTTGTGTAGTTCAGGCTGTCCTTGAACTTACTATGTTGCCCAGGCTGGCCTCCAACTTGTAGGAATTCCACCTGCCTCAGGGTTCCAAGTACTGAGATCAGAGGTGTGCACCACCACATCTGGCTAAGCCTACCTAATTGTAAATCACCAATGCCAGGCACAGGTCAGTATGCACACACTGGGTGGTGCAGGGAGGAATTATGTTCCCAACCTCTCCTCACCACTCAGGACCAACAGACAGCTTGGCCTAGAGGCCACAAACTGATGGACAGAGTGGCAGGAGGAGGCGTGCAGGGGTGAGTCCCTTCAGGGCCAGAGGTAACAGGGAGGATGGTCTTTCAGTTGGCACTAGAATATACATTCACGCTGATAGGGAACTGTACCTTTCAGAGAAGCAAGGTAACGGTAAGTAGTTCTCATTTATAAGCCTGTGCAGAGCCCTGAGCTATTAGGCACAAAATAAACACATGACCAGAAAACTGCACGGTCACCAATTCATACATAAGCTTCTCCTCTAAGGAACACAGCTGGCAGACAGACTGCAAGGGTTCCAACTCCAAACATAAAATCCTTCTGCTCCAATGCACAGAGGGATGTGTGCTGTTGCAACCCAGCTTGGCACTCTCCTGTTTAGTCAGAGATGACCATGGCTGCAGACTTTGAGAACGCAAGAAAAACACTTTCAACACTGACCAGATGACACAGTATTAAGCAAAAATGAATAAAACAGTCTCTTTGCCTTCAAAAGCTCCCACTCTAAATGATTAATTACAATGGAAGTGACAAGTGTTACACTAGAGATTACGTACACAATGCAAATAAGGATAAATAAGTAAGTAACAATGCTTATTAATGGCTTCCACTGAATCGGTCTCCATTCCAAGAGCCTCCCAAATCCTCATGGTGATACCATCATCACTTTCGTTTTCCAGGGAGACCTAGATACAAGAACTGGCTTGGTGTGCACACCTGTAATCCCAGCACTTGGAAGCCGAGGCAGGAAAAGCCCAGCATGGGCAATTAAGTACCTTAGTGAACCCCTATGTCAAAATAAAAATTTTTAAAATATTTGGGGATAAAGTTCAGTGCAAAGGCCCAGCTTCCATCCCCAGTACTGGAGAAGAAACAAAAACATGAAATCCTCAGACATTTTAAATTTAAGGCTGATGTCAACCTCATGAGTCATTGACATACAGTACTTAGTTCTTCATTAAATAGTTTAACAATCACCATTCTAAATTTTCAAAGCATTCTGACACTAATTCATTTGCTTTGGCTAAAAACTTTGTTCAGTAAACAGGAAGGAGCCACTGTGGTGGGCCTGTAATCCCAACACTTAGAAGGCTGAAGCAGGAAGACTGCCATAAATTTGAGGCCAATCTGGGTTACATGGGGAGTTCAAGGCCAGCCTGAATTACAGAGGGAGACCCTGTCTCAAAAAAGGAAAAATAGAAAAAGCATAACCTTCATGAAAGAAAAAGCTGATGCTAGGAGATAGATGCTTTGTTTAAGAATACAAAGGAAGATTAGAATTTGGGTCTCTAGCCTTTTCTTTTTCCTTCCTCCAGGGCTGGGATAGAACACAAGGCCTCGAGCATACTAAGCTCACATTCTACCACTGAGCCACACACATTCCCATTCTCCCTGGCTTTTTCTTACTATTCTTTGTTCACTTATTATTTCTTTGTAGTTAACCTCCAAATCAGATGCTGTGAAAGAATAAAACTAACCTATTGCTCACAAAATAAACATTAGAGTAAAAACAATTTTTATGGCTTTTGAAAGGCATTAACAATTCCCTCTATTCTCCAGAACCCTGAGATTGTCACTTAATCCCCTCACTCCTTTTTTTTTTTTTTTAAGTACTAGGGAACTGAACTCAGGGCCTTCACAATGAACTACATGCCCAGTTCTTTTTTGAGACAGGGTTCACTAAGTTGCCCAGGCTAAGCTTGAACTTGAGATCCTCTTGCCTCAGCTTCCCAAACTACAGGAATTACAGGCATGTCCCATCAAGCCTGGCCCCTTTTCATCCTGTAAATGAAACAGCCAACTACGGGAACTGGGTCTGGTTGCTATTAAAAAATAGTTAACAGAGGGCCGGGATTTAGTCCTGTGGCACCATGCCTGCCATGCAAGGGTAAGGTTCGGAGTTCAATTCCCATACTGGAAAAAGAGTTAACAGCAGAATGTGGTAGCACTGCAATCCCAGCACTCAGGAGACTGATGCAGGAGAACTGCTGTAAGATGGAGACCAGCCTGGGTTACATTGTGAGCTCAAGGACTGTAAGATAAGTTGGAATGGCTACCACCATTCTGATAACTTCCTTCTTCACCTTAAAGTTTCCATTTCCTACACCACGCGTTACCGGTCATAAATAAAACCGACACGCGAACAAGCCTTGTCCGTATAAGGAATGGGTGTCAATAATGACCCCTGAGTGGCTGCCCGTGCAGCCGACACAATCCCCAACCAGCCTGCACCACTCACCCACTATATATAACCAAGCCCCTCCGCCAGCGCTCTCTCTCCTTTCTTCCCCTTTCGCCGCACCGGCCACCGTGCAGCCCCGTGATGCAGCGGCTCTACAATAAAATCTCTACTCTGTGTGCGGAGTGATCTTTGGCAAGCACAGGTTTCTTTCAAGGACAGCTTGAACTACAAACAAACAAACAAACAGTTAACAATTCTGGGCACGGGGTGAAGCCAGTAAACCCACCACTTGGGGGGTTTGAGGCCAGCCTGGACAACTTTGACTCTGTCTCAAAATAATATTTAAAAGGCTAAGAATGTAGGTCAGCAATCCTTGGGTTCAATCCCCAGTACTAACAAAGGAAGAAAAAAGTCACTATCAAATCTATATCAATATTTAATTAACCTATTATGTCCTTTATATGTAAGTTGTGGACCGGGAAGGTCTTACATGTTGGCTATGGCTAGAAATGGGGAGAACTAGGGTTACTGTACATAAGGAATGTAAATGGACCCATACAGAGACAAAAGCACGGCTGAGAACGTGAATGAGGTCAATCTTAAATCAAAGCTCAAAATAGCAGAGGAACTGGATCCCAGAGATGCTGGCCAAAAGATAAAATGTTGTATTATATTTTATCACATTTTCTTTATTGTATTCAATAAATTACATACAGCAACCACTGATCTTCAAACAGCCTCCTCCCACAGGTGATACATAAAGGCTCACCAAAACAGAATAATACAAGAGCCTTCTCCCTTTACCTGGCTGTTGACCTTTATCTTTCCCTACTTTTCTTGTATATCTGAAGCAAGTGGTCCAATACAACTCTAAAGAATTAAAAACACTTAACTCAACAATCTCTATAGTTTCTTTCTACACAGAAGTACAATTAATCTTATGTCGAAAAGTGAGTGAAAAGATAACATTTTCGTAGTTCGGTCAGAAATAAAGCTTTGTTGAAATATACACAATCTGTTGAAAGATGAGAAATTTTATTGATCTAATTTTTCTTTTGGAAAAAAAATCAGTCGTTGTAAAATTTTCAACTGGCAGCTAGTATCTTCTTTTACCTCAACCGTGCTAATGTTACAAGGAAATTAAGACATTCAATTTTCCATTCTCAATAGATGCCCTCTCACCTCATTTAGGACAATTAACGACACATGTTCTGTGTCAAGAACTAGAGGATAAGACCAGATTGCTTTCTCTCAAAACTCAAATCACAGAATTGTTTTGGCCACACAACTCAAGTTTTCTAGGTCAAATATATATATGACTTCTTACAAATGGTATTTCACCTAAGGCACTAAGCAAGTTCAAACAAATAAAAAGCAACAAGTAAAACACTTAAGATACTGAGAAACTGAACTGTAAGTATGACTACATCATCAGGAAGATGGTTAAATTAATCCATCTAATGCAAGAGGTATGTTCGTTTGTTCA